CCTGATGGACAACCCCACCCTGTACCTGGAGAAATAGGGAAGTGGGGGCACTGTCACCTCATTGTCACCTCCCTGTCACCTCCCTGTCACCTTTGGGACCTTCCTGTCACCTCTGGGACCCCCCAGAATCCCCCAGGACCCCCCAGCACTACCTTGTGTCTCCCTTGTGTCCCCAGTGTCCCAAGTGTCCCTCGGGTCTCCCCGGGTGTCCCCAGGTGACCCCAACTGTCCCCAAGTGTCCCAGGTAACCCCAGGTGTCCCAGGTGTCCCCACATGTCCTCAAATGTCCCCAAGTTCCTAGGTGACTCCAGGTGTCCCCAAGTGTCCCCAGGTGTCTCCAAGTGTCCCCAGGTGTCTCCAGGTATCCCCAAGTGACTCCAGGTGTCTCCAGGTGTCCCCAAGTGTCCCCAAGTGTCCCAGGTGTCTCCAAGTGTCCCCAGGTGTCCCCAAAGTGTCCCCATGTGTCCCCAACTGTCCCTAACTGTCCCCAGCTGCACAAGCTGATCCCGGCGGTGATGACGAGCATCGTGAGCCGCCAGTTGAGGTGTCCCCAGGTGTCCCCCATGTCCCCAACTGTCCCTAAATGTCCCCAAAGTGTCCCCAAATGTCCCCAGCTGCACGAGCTGATCCCGGCGGTGATGACGAGCATCATGAGCCACCACTTGGTGTGTCCCTAGGTGTCCCCAAATGTCTCTAAATGTCCCCAAATGTCCCCTGGTGTCCCCAAATGTCCCCAGCTGCACGAGCTGATCCCGGCGGTGATGACGTGCATCGTGAGCCGCCAGCTCTGCCTCCGGCCCGACGTGGACAATCACTGGGCCCTGCGCGACTTCGCCGCCCGGCTGGTGGCCCAGGTCTGCAAGAACTTCAGCACCACCACCAACAACATCCAGTCCCGCATCACCAAGACCTTCACCAAGGTGGGATGTGGGATTTGGGCTGGGATTTGGGCTGGGAACGGGATTTGGGGTGGGATTTGGGCTGGCAATGGGATTTGGGGTGGGAATGGGGTTGGGAATGGGATATGGGATGGGAAGGGGGCTGGTGGCCCAGGTCTGCAAGAACTTCAGCACCACCACCAACAACATCCAGTCCCACATCACCAAGACCTTCACCAAGGTGGGAATGGGGTGGGAATGGGATTTGGGGTGGGATTTGGGCTGAGAATGGGATATGGGGTGGGATTTGGGGTGGGAATGGGATATGGGGTGGGAAGGGGGCTGGTGGCCCAGGTCTGCAAGAACTTCAGCACCAGCACCAACAACATCCAGTCTTGCATTACCAAGAGCTTCACCAAGGTGGGAATGGGGCTGGGAATGGGATTTGGGGTGGGAATGGGGTGGGATGGAGGTGGAACTTCAGCACCACCACTACTAACATCCAGTCCCACATCACCAAGACCTTCACCAAGGTGGGAAGGGGGGATTTGGGGTGGGATTTGGGCTGGGAATGGGATTTGGGGTGGGAATGGGATGTGAGGTGGGATTTGGGCTGGGAATGGGGCTGTGGGGTGTGCTGGGCTGTGGGTGAGCCCCACATCTCCCCCCCTGTGCCCCCCCCCAGAGCTGGGTGGACGACAAGACCCCCTGGACGACCCGGTACGGCTCCATCGCGGGGCTGGCGGAGCTCGGCCACGACGTGAGTGCCACCTGGGCCACCCCTGGCACCTCCCTGTCACCCCCAGTGTCACCTCCCTGTCACC